ATAATATTTTATTCTATTTTAGTTGGGCCTTGATGATGATTATTTGTACATCTCTTATGTACTTATCTTGCTCATTGTACTACTTTATTATTCTTTTGCATGTTCTGTATCTACACCTATTATTTGATTCCACTAGAGAGATAATAATTGTGATGGTGCAACGTGTTGTTGCACGGTGTTGGTGTATGACGGGTTTGATATTCTTGGATTCATCTTAGACTGTAGCCTTGTGTGAACTTAGGGGCATCACATCCATACTTTCTCCTTATCTTTGTGAAAATTTTAATAATCTAATTTTTATACATAGAACTATGCACTAATTGTTGTGCCTTATTTAATTATGTTTTTTGTGATCATTACAATTTCTTACATTTAATAGTGTAAACATTATTAGTGCTGACAATAGAGGCTTAACAGAGGGAATTTGGATATGTTTTTAAGAAAAAGGTTAAAATTGTTAGCAAAGTAGCTTTGAATTTGGATTGAATCCAATATGGTGTGAATTAAATTATTGTAAAGACTAATTATTTTAAGACCAAATGTTGATAGCTTTGTAGATTAGATTTTTTTTTTGGTTAAGAAAGAATACAATTATAAGTTGTATACATGTGGATTGGTTCTTGTTAAAAATGATTATTTAAGACTGAGTGTTGATGGTTATATGTTTTTGTTAGGAATGAATGTTGTTAAAATTTGTTTAAGTAGTTCTACTAGATAATAATTGATTAGTTTATTGTTCAATTGAATAACTTCTTTTAAAATTCTTATTAATGATCTAAAATGGTTAAGAAGAACTTCATGTCACAATCTCAACCCGAAGGTGGGCAATCAAGACCTCGAGCTAGAAATTGGACTATAACTAAAGATAATTGTTTGTTGGGAATATTAAAAGAAATGGTTCTTAAAGGAAAGAACAATGGAGGTCATTTCATTATCGATCAATGACAAAAAAAATTACCAATGAGTATAAAGATAGGACTGGATAAGAGGATAGAGGCAAACCACAAATGCAAAGCCATTATAAAATTTTGAAAAAGCAATATTCCCTTAATTACAAACTTCGAAATAAATTAGGTTGGGGTTGGAATGAAGGTAAAAATATGATGATTGCACATACTGCAAAAGATTGGGAGGTATTAATAAAGGTATTATCTAAATTTCTAGTAATATTAAATTTAAAGTTTATATAATTAAAACTATGATATATTTATTATGAATTTTCTACCACGGGAGAACGATGAGTATTTAAGAATTAAAAACAAACCTTTTTCTCAGTTTGATGATATGGATTTTCTATGTTGAGGTAACACATCTAAGAGGCGCGGGTGGTTTAGGACTAATGATAACTTCAATGAGCATGAAGGAAGCACTAGTTCAGAAAATGAATTAGAGGGTACGAAAGGGGCTACACAATAATGAGATAGATTTGAGTGATTCAGATGAGGTACAAGAAGTGGAAGAGACACAAATTCCTTTTAATGGGATACAACCACCATCATAACCATTACCTATTTCTACTCTGAGCATAAAGCAGCACGCTCAACCATTAGGTTTAAAGCGTAAGTTTAAAAATGTTTCTCATCATCGAGTATCAGGTATTGAAGTTGAAAATAATTTGTCAAAAATGATTGAGCTCCAAAAGCAGCGAGTTACAATTACAAAAGAGCTTGTAGATTCTAAAAAAGGGGTGCCTACTGAAATAAAAGAGTACATAGATAAGATAATGAAATTACCTGGTGTAATTAGTGATCTATGTGTGGTAGGAGCAGAAGTTATTAAAAAGAAGGAGAATAGGCATGTCGTTAATATGCTTAACGGTCAAATGCTATTATCATGGCTCAATAAAAAGAAGGAGAATAGGCATGTCGTTAATATGCTTAACGGTCAAATGCTATTATCATGGCTCAAGAAACAAATGGATTTACAAAATTAATATGCTTAACGGTCAAATGCTATTATCATGGCTCAAGAAACAAATGGATTTACAAAATGCAATGTCCAGTTGTCCATCACTAACTTATAATTTCCAACATCAACAACCTCTAATTCACCAGTTCCAATGTGAGTCCTTTAATCAACCAAGATGGCAAGGGTTTTCTCAAACTTCTCGGGGTCAATCACGAATGTCGCAAGCTCATGACAGCAACATGCCAGAGATGGGATTATTTGTCAGCTTACTTAACGAGAAACAAAACTTTCATCCGAATTGATGCTTTATGTTCACGTCTCAAGTGTCAAGACTAATAGATTGGTTAAAATGTGCTCTCATATTTAGTTTAGTAGTATGTTTTCTTGCTTTTAGTTAAAGTTGATGTTCCAAAGAGTGACTTTCTTATTGTCAGACAATCAAATTATGACTTTTAAATGTTTAGATTATATCCTATGTTGGATGGTTTTTATGTTAGATAATCTTTTGCAAAGAGGCTAAGATTTGCAAAGAGTTCTTATGTTGAAATTATGATTTTCTTGGTAATTTATCCTAACCCAAGTGTCCTGATTTTAGAAAGATTTACAGTGTCAACATGCTCAGTAGTGTATATACCACTTGACACAGACAGAAACATCTACATGTTTACTTGTTTATTTATATATATCCATGCAGGTTATTTTTCCAATGCTCTTCCTTTTGTACTATTAGTTGCTGGATGTTTGTGTGCGTGCATGTGTGTCTTTATATATGTGTTTCTATATGTCTGTCTGGGGTATGCAAGTTTTTCTTCTCTTTTTTCCCTGCATTCTGCTCTAAAGTGATGAGGCTTGATTGAACAAACACTTCAAGAACTTTAAACATAGTTCAGAATGAATAACTTAGCATCAACATGGTGTTTCTTTGTTTCAGTGTTCTAGGTGAACAATAATTTTGATATCTTCATGGTATACTGGCATCAGGCCTAATGGCTGTGGCTATGTGCATCAGGTCTGATGGATGTGGCTTTATGTATCTTCATGGTATATTTGCAGTAGGCCTGATGGCCTGATTTTGATATCTTCATGATGTATTAACGTTAGGCCTAATTTTGATATTTTTGATATATTCATGGTATACTGTCATTAGGCCCGATTGTTGTAGCTTTTTGTATGTGCATGATATACTAGCTTTATGTATCTTAAGGAGAATGATTTTGGTATAATCATGGTATACTAGCTTTATGCAATACCAAATTGTAATACTTTTATAATCAGCTTTACATAATTTCAAGTTCATTTTATTTTAGTAAGGCAATTATTTATAAATTATCAGTAAGGGTGAAAGTGGTACTTTTAAAAAAAATAATGAGATTAATCTCTTTAGCCCTTCTTCATTTGCCAAACACAAAAGACTTAACCCCTTGTCTTAACTATCGAATCCAAACGGATTTAGAATATTTTAACCCTTCACAATGGATTAACTAAGTTAACCATTATCCTTACTCCTCTCTTAACCACTTGCCAAACGCAGCCTAAAGTTAAATACTAGAAAAGTCCTAATCCTAATAAAAAAAATCCTAAACCAATAATCCCCTCTAAATGCTCTCAGTTATGCAAAGACGAGAATTCTCTCTCGAAAATTTTGATGTGATACTCACGTGCTAATTATAACTTTTTATCCTTAATTGTTTGTTACCTTTATTCTTAAAACTATGGTAATCTATTTTAAACCTAACTCCGGTTCTATGTTAAAATAAGATTTCGAAATGTTAACTATAAATTTAACAAATAGTAAATACAGCATGTGAGTGTCCCATGAGAATTTCCGGAGAAATTATCATGTTCGCATAAAATGAGGGTATTAAAATGCTAATTTAAAAGACTTTTAGGTATATAAGTGCAAAGTAGGGGAAACTATAGGGTATTGGGTGACACTAGGGGCACACCACCAATCACAACCTCAACCACACTCCCTCTCTCATTTGCTACAGTGCACCGAGCCCCACATGGTATTTTAAAATTTTAAAATACCATGTGGGGCTCGGTGCACTGTAGCAAATGAGAGAGGGAGTGTGGTTGAGGTTGTGATTGGTGGTGTGCCCCTAGTGTCACCCTTTTTATGCAGCAATCCCATGTGTTCTGTCTCGTCTTTGATTGACATTTGCTTCTTTAGAAGCAAAAGAAGGTTTGGTAATGGCATTGTCAGCAAATTAAGGTAGTGTTACTTTGGTGCTAGTACGTACATTCGGATTTTGATATTGTCACTGTACGCCCTGTGCGAAGCAGGACCTTCCCCTTAATTTTTAATTTTTAATTGCTACAGTAATTCCGGTTTTTAATTGCTACATTATATTTATATTTAGATGATATACCATTTTTAAATGGCATGGTTTTTTAAAAATGCTACATTATTCCACCTCTACTACAGTAGCATTTTTTAAAAATGCAACAGTATCACCGTTATGTTTTTACTGCAGCATGAATAGTGATTCTTGCGCCCTCCCATTATTATAGAGGAATAGATTCGTTGGATTTTTTTTTCACAGGATGGATCGGTTACATTCTCATAGCTTGAGGCACGGGTGATCTTGGAGTATGTGTATTTATACTGATAATCTTGAGATTGCTGATCTTAATTACATGGTTAACCCTGGAATATGAGTACAATCACACGGTTGATCTAGAACATGATGCCAGGATCACGTAATTTTCTTCTTTCCCCCCTCTGACTTGGAATTCTAATCTGATGTTGGCTAGTAGCGGGGTTAGGGTTATAGAGTATTGTTTAGTGTTAGGATTAGGGTTGGGGTGAATTCTCACTCCAATCGCCTTCTCTCCGAATGCAATTGACACCGTAGCTAGGGTTGGTGATTGTTGAGCTAATTGATGTCGAAATTTCTCAAATCCTTTTGATCTGAATTTATGGGAATTTGTAATACGTAGTTGAAAGATTGTAGTTTTATGCCTAATTTGGGATTGGATTTGTTAGCTTGATATCATTGGCTATGCGTGGTTTATTTGTATTCTCACTCCAATCGCCTTCTCTCCGAATGCAATTGACACCGTAGCTAGGGTTGGTGATTGTTGAGCTAATTGATGTCGAAATTTCTCAAATCCTTTTGATCTGAATTTATGGGAATTTGTAATACGTAGTTGAAAGATTGTAGTTTTATGCCTAATTTGGGATTGGATTTGTTAGCTTGATATCATTGGCTATGCGTACGGTTTATTTGTGTGTTCATTTAGAAGGGGCGAATGCTTTCTGTTTGATTGAGAAACATGAAAGATACTGAAAACATTCGTTAGCTTTCATATACGTGATAATTTTGGCTGTTTTTATCATTTTTCTTGTTCGAGTAAACATTTGGATCATTCAAATGGTCTGCAGATTATTATTTTCTATATTGGTTGATTATTATTGCGAAGTTTTGCATTGTAGTGATATTGTTTATTTATATTTCGAGATTTATCTGGAGGTATACTGTCGAATTCTGCTAATTTGCATTATCAATGATGAATGGCTCAGGAACAAACTATTTCTTCGATCGAATTGAAGCTGCAGTTAGAACCTAAGTAAGAATCTGTTTTCATGGACTTCTTTTTTTTATTATGCCTTTCCAATACCCTAAATTTGTGCTTTAGTTCATTAGTAAAATATAAAAATAGATGGTCGAAAGATTCTTAATAGTACTGATTGAATGCTACTTTTGATCTGAAAGGGCTCTGCATTAATTAATTGTATATGGGTAAAGTTTCTTTGTTTAGCGTAAACTCCTGCTAATTATGCCACAATACATATTTGCACTGATGGTGGACAGGAGCCCAGATAATTTATTCAACTGTCTGATATTTGGATTCAGAACTCACTGAACTCAAGGAGATAATAGGAAGGTCTAAGTTTGAGGAATATAGCAAACATCCATTTGTCATCAAATTGATGAGTGTAAATAATGGGAATCAAAGGAGCAACAAACTGTCCTGGAAATTTGAAAGTTTTTCGGAATTAGATTTGTCACTCCCCGGGCCACGGGCCCGTTAGCGCATGCAAGCCGTGAGACCCATTGAGTGTAGCATATTGTTTGGCTCATTCTACTGCCAAAATCGACTAGCCGATGCTACACTTGAGCCTTTAGCTTCACTATATAAACACTTATCATTTGTCTCCACATCCGATGTGGGACTATCTTGGGGCATCACAATCACCCAACTTTACATAAGCGACGTCCTCATCGCGACATGATAATTGATACATCCCAGTATCACCTTCAGGCGACATGGACTCCAGAGGTGACTCTTACGACCTCTAGAGGTGGCTCCCACCGTGCTCACACAGTGTAACACTTAGCCGCGCATAGCACTTAACTCCACACTCATGGCTAGCAAACTGCTTTGATACTATTTGTCACACCCCGGGCCCGTTGGCGCGTGCAAGTCGTAGGACCCACTGACTGTAGCACATTGTTTGGCTCAATTCACTGTCAAAATGACTAGCCGATGCTACACTTGAGCTTTTAGCTTCACTATATAAACACTTAATCATTTGTCTCCACATCCGATGTGGGACTATCTTAGGGCGTCACAAGATTCATTTCATTAAACTACGATTTTGATTTTCTTATCATCTATGCATTCATACCGTCTGCACATCCAGCATATTGCATGCATCAGTCTGTTAAAAGTGCTGTTAGTTTAGCTTTGGATGTTTGGTCAGTACCATTTCCATAAGCTCATCAGATGTTAAAAGGAGAATATCATGTCAGGTCCGAGGTACTGATTTAATTTTTTGATCCACTGATCATAATCTATGTCAAGTTTGTTGTCTGATTTTATTGTCTTTTTCTTATTTATTTCCCAGACTTATTCATTAGTTCCACAAACATTTTTCTTACTTATTGAATAGTCAACATTACTACAGTTCTTGTTTGTCTAATGATGTCAGGCAGCTATAACTTTCAATCTTTCTGTTAAGATTAACTAGGATATTATGATGCCCATTAATGGACCTGTCAACATGGATATCAGCATTCAGCTTCTTGTGCCCTATCTTTCTGTGGGAACTATATTTTACTGCATATCTTTGCACATTTTAACTACATTCCGTTGAGTATTACTGAATGTTTGTATTGAATGAACCTCCATTTTTGTTTGTTCTGGGGTCTAAACTCAAATTTCTTTCACTATGGTAATGAATCAAATGTTGCTATTTTTTGATAATACACAATGATCACATCTTTATGTCAGTCATGATTCAAAAGAATACTTGTATTTTAGCTCATATTATCACCTAATAAATCAACTGTCATCTTAGCTTTGTTACTGCATTTCTGCAGGTTGTAAAGGTATAATATCTATAGAGCAATTACCCACAGGTAGTAGATATGGCTGGGGCTTTGGTTCAGTCAGCTACTATTCCAGCTGTTGTAGTTGGAAATTGCAGTCAGATACCTGGGAAGACTAGAAGAGCTAGCAAAATGATGGGGAGTGCACAATCACGTCCTCTTAGATTGCAAGGATTCACTGGCTTGAGAGGGTTAAATGCGTTGGATTTTTCCTCTAAATCTGGACGTGATTTTCATTCAATGGTAGCAGCTACTATCTCTGCTCCAAAGGGAAAGGCTGTCAGAGGAGTTGCTGTGGCTATGTTTGAGCGTTTCACTGAGAAGGCTATTAAAGTTATCATGCTTGCACAGGAAGAAGCACGACGGCTGGGCCACAATTTTGTTGGAACAGAGCAGATATTATTGGGTCTTATTGGCGAAGGGACTGGAATTGCTGCAAAAGTTTTAAAATCTATGGGCATTAATCTCAAAGATGCCCGTGTGGAGGTTGAAAAAATTATTGGAAGGGGAAGCGGATTTGTTGCTGTTGAGATACCATTCACACCACGTGCAAAGCGTGTTCTGGAATTGTCTCTTGAAGAAGCTCGACAACTAGGTATCTTCTATTGCTATACACCAACAGAGAAGTTTTGCGTCTTTAAATTAATTTGGTGCAGCATCAATTTCCATTATAAGAGAGGTTGAAATTTCATTCATATGCCTGTTTTTTGTATAAGTTTTCCCTTGTTCTTTTGATAAATCTTCTTATCCGGAAGATTGTGTTAAAATGTTTGAATGCCCTTTCTTCAGCTGTTACTTTTCATGTAATATGAACTTAATTGGATGGATAATATTAATTTTTACTATAAAAGGATAATAAAAACTTTTTTCTAAATTTTTGAGGATTACTTTGTGAGAAGTTCTTAATAAAAAATCAGTTAAAGAATGGCATGCAGTTTGCATTCCTAATCATAACACCGTGTTTTAAGAGTTGACTGCCAGCTTTGGCTTATGTTACCCACTCTTTTGAGCGGGCTTGATACTTGAAGAAGCACCTCCTTACAATTATTAGCAGCACCAAAGCATACTATATGCATCATAATGAAGAATACATCAGTGAGTTCTTAACAAAAATATGGTCAATTTTCAGGTCACAACTATATTGGGTCTGAGCATTTGCTTCTTGGACTCCTTCGTGAGGGCGAAGGTGTAGCAGCCCGTGTGCTGGAGAGTCTTGGAGCTGATCCGAGCAATATTCGCACACAGGTAATTTTTTTTGCTCTCTCCCTTTTCTTAATTCTTATATCATCATCGTCATCAATGCTATTATCATTTCCGTGATGCATGGGCTAGATTGCTTTACCTATACCCATTCTGCTGTGAATCTTAGTATGTAATTACTTCATTTTAACAGGTTATTAGAATGGTTGGTGAAAGCACAGAGGCAGTTGGTGCTGGGGTTGGAGGAGGCAGCAGTGGAAATAAGATGCCTACGTTAGAGGAATATGGAACTAATCTAACAAAGTTGGCTGAGGAGGTAACGTTATTTTACACTTACTATGTCATGTGCTGATAATGATAATTGGAATGCAGATATAAATATTAAGAAAACTACTCTTTACAGGGTAAGCTTGATCCTGTAGTTGGCCGACAACAACAAATTGAGCGTGTCACCCAGATTTTGGGCAGACGAACGAAGAACAATCCCTGCCTAATTGGAGAGCCAGGTGTTGGGAAGACAGCCATAGCTGAAGGGCTCGCCCAACGTATAGCAAATGGGGATGTCCCAGAAACAATAGAAGGAAAGAAGGTTGGTGTCCTTTGTTTTCTAGGATTTCTGGTTTTGTCAATATTCTCATACTTGATTTTTCCGTATCACTATTATTTTAATCTGCACAGCTGTTTTCCTGGTTACCTATCCATTTATCTTTTCTAAATTTCCATACTTTCCTTTTCTGCTATTATGGCTGTTCTTTTATTAAAGAATATTGCTCATCCTTCTTTCTACAAATGTATGGTCTAGGTGATTACCCTTGATATGGGGCTTCTTGTTGCTGGCACAAAATATCGTGGAGAATTTGAAGAAAGATTGAAAAAGCTTATGGAAGAAATTAAACAAAGTGATGAAATTATCCTTTTCATTGATGAGGTGCATACATTAATTGGAGCAGGTGCTGCAGAAGGCGCTATAGATGCTGCTAACATCTTAAAGCCAGCTCTTGCAAGAGGTGAATTACAGGTATTGGATTTCTCTATTCGAACTTTTCTTTTATCCATATGATATGATTTGTGGAATATGTTTATGTTCAAATTCTGAAATTAGTTTATTGTTTACAAGCAAACAAGCATCATTTCTTTTAGCTTTTGTACTGAACTACCTTATTTTGTCAGTGTATTGGAGCCACGACGTTGGATGAGTACAGAAAGCACATTGAGAAAGACCCGGCACTGGAAAGACGATTCCAACCAGTCAAGGTGCCAGAACCATCTGTTGATGAAACTATACAAATACTCAAGGGTCTTCGTGAACGATATGAAATTCACCACAAACTTCGATATACAGATGATGCTCTAGATGCTGCTGCACAGTTATCATATCAATACATTAGGTGTGTGATGTCAAGATGCATTTTCTATGTGTCACATGAAAAAATCTCACTCTATTGGATACAATCGAAGCAGTTTACATGCTTATGACAAGTTTGATCAGCATATCCACAAAACTCTTATGAACATTTTATTTTTCTAATGAAACTCATACATATGACATGGTCATTAGCATATCCACAGAACTCTTATCAGCATTTCTTTTCTCTAATCAACCAGCGTCATGATCATATTTTGACAATGTTTAAGAATTGTGAGAAATAATTTTCTTCCTAAGTATTAATTCTTGTGCATACTTTATGTTGTTTCAGTGATCGTTTCCTCCCTGATAAAGCTATTGACTTAATCGATGAAGCTGGTTCTCGTGTTAGGCTTCGCCATGCACAGGTATGATATATTCACACCTTTATCTAACAGTGAAGTTTTACTCAACATGCTGGTTATTTAAGCACGATGTCATCTTGTTTGCAGCTTCCCGAGGAGGCTAAAGAACTTGATAAAGAGCTGAGGCAGATCACCAAGGAAAAAAATGAGGCGGTGCGTGGCCAGGATTTTGAGAAGGTCAGTCTCTCTTAAATTTATTCATTAAAGAAATGAATAAGTAAAAGGATAAAGATGGCAAAGAATAGCTTATAAAATTTTTATAATTTGGTCACGGGAACTAGTGGGCATCATTGAAGGGCTTTACTTTCAACACCTTTAGTTGCTTTAATCAAACCTGCTGAAAATAAAATGAGAAATCTAATGAAGATACATTTAAAATAAAATTTTACCGTCTTTTTTCCCTCATTGCTCCAGTGAGAAATAGTACATATTGTGGAAATGCAAGTGTTTAGATAGCTTGTGATTTTCTATGGGCCACTAGTTTTTGAGTAATTGATGGGCTAGTGGCTTATTTTCCTATATACATAGTAGTTTAAACTACTGCTAATGGTGTTATCTTAATTCCAAGGTTAGGTCTAAAGCTCATTTTGTTAAAACATCATTTAATTACCTGCTTTTCTTCTTAAGTTCACATCCCTGTCTTTCAGTATAAATCCGATCACTTACCAAACAGTGACCTATGTCGTTATAGATTTAATTACTTATTGTTATTATTTTGTTTAGTAAATATATCAGCTTTCTTGACAGGCTGGGGAGTTGCGAGACCGTGAAATGGAGTTGAAGGCCCAGATATCTGCACTGATCGACAAGGGCAAAGAACAGAGCAAAGCTGAGGCTGAGTCAGGTGACTCCGGCCCTCTCGTTACAGAAGTGGATATCCAACACATTGTCTCATCCTGGACTGGTATCCCCGTGGAGAAAGTCTCGAGTGATGAATCTGACCGTCTCCTCAAGATGGAGGAAACTCTACACAAGCGCATCATCGGACAGGATGAGGCCGTCAAGGCCATCAGCCGTGCAATCCGCCGTGCCCGTGTAGGTCTCAAGAACCCTAACCGTCCGATTGCCAGCTTCATCTTTTCTGGCCCCACTGGTGTTGGTAAGTCTGAGCTCGCCAAAGCCCTTGCTGCTTACTACTTTGGTTCCGAAGATGCTATGATCAGGCTCGACATGAGTGAGTTTATGGAGCGTCACACTGTCTCCAAGTTGATTGGTTCTCCACCGGGATACGTTGGGTACACCGAGGGCGGGCAGCTGACAGAGGCTGTTCGTCGTCGGCCATACACAGTTGTTCTCTTTGATGAAATCGAGAAGGCCCACCCTGATGTCTTCAACATGATGCTTCAGATTCTTGAAGATGGGAGATTGACAGATAGCAAGGGGCGAACTGTTGATTTCAAGAACACGCTTTTGATCATGACTTCAAATGTTGGGAGCAGTGTCATTGAGAAAGGAGGGAGGAGGATTGGGTTCGATTTGGATTATGATGAGAAGGATGGAAGTTATAATAGGATTAAGAGCTTGGTGACTGAGGAGCTGAAGCAGTACTTTAGGCCGGAGTTCTTGAATAGGTTGGATGAGATGATAGTGTTCAGACAGCTGACAAAACTGGAGGTGAAGGAGATTGCAGATATCATGTTGAAGGAGGTGTTTGATAGGTTGAAGGTGAAGGAGATTGATCTTCAGGTTACGGAGAGGTTTAGGGATCGGGTAGTGGATGAAGGGTACAGCCCGAGTTATGGAGCAAGGCCCTTGAGGAGGGCAATAATGAGGCTTTTGGAGGATAGTTTGGCAGAGAAGATGTTGGCCGGAGAAATTAAAGAAGGGGATTCGGCGATTGTTGATGTGGATTCTGAAGGGACTGTTACAGTCCTTAACGGTGGGAGTGGGGTTCCAGACTCGGTGCCCCCAGCTATTCCGGTGTGATTGTATATAATAATTCCACACGGCTCAATGATCAATTACCCTAGTTTTACTTAGTTTAGGCTCTGCAGACATGCTTAATATTTCATTGATGATGCGCAGAAGTGAAATGTTGTAATGGCCTGCAGCATTGGATGTTCAAGATACTTCAGTAAAAGCGTGAAATTCTTACTCATACTAGATGACCTGGATTGTCTTGTGACCATGTTGTCCGGTCGTATATTTGTATGGCACGCTTGGTTGTTGAATATCAATACGTTCTTGCTTGTTTGGCAGAAAAGCTGTCTGATTTCAGGATTCTTGTGACTGGATCGTGCAAGACGCGGTTCAATTTGAAGCCAGCCCCATTTTTGATGCATGGTGTCAAGAGCACATCAAGCTTGGTGCGGATTCTAAATAAAAGAGAAATCAAAATTTAGTAGGGACCAAAATTTTCGAGATGATCACCCACGCAAAGCTAAAAAGATTGAGCGGAACAGTTACTGACTTCCTCTTGAAAAGAGATTTGAGCTTAACTACAGTACTATCTACGCCTGGTCTTGTCTGGAGCAATATCACAATACTAAAACTATGATCCCTTGTTATTAGCTGATTCTGTGCGGATTACTTAGCCTCATTCCCGTGTTCCCCGTGATGATCTTGGATTTATCTAGCACCAAACAAACGGTAGAGAGAGTATAAGCACAATCGCCTACAATTATACACAGATTTAGAGAACTTGAGATTTCTCTCTGGGCGTGATGGTGCTTCCTACACCGTTGCATTCAGACACGAACACGATGATATAAAAGTATTATCCCTCAAAACCTGCTCATCTCTTGCATCATGTTTATCCCATAATTCAGTTCATGCTGAAATGTTCGCTTCTAGGGTATCGAGTACGTGGGATTTCAAGATAAAACGTGCATAAATTGATTAATGCACTGTAAATAGCAACATCGAAAACGTGCATAAATTGATTAATGCACTGTAAATAGCAACATCGAACCAGGTACTCACCAAGCAGTCATCTTTCAAGTTACCAAAAAGTAAATAGATAAAAACCAAATTATATGTCTGCAATAACATGCACACAGGAAAAGCAGTCACCTGTGATTATATATACAAAACCAAGAAGAAAAGGGTAAGCACTTCCATCAACAAAATTGATGTTTTAGTGAAGTTCGTTTTTAACCCCTGGTGACTGGTAGTGGTTAGATTCCCTGAGAGGTTTTTTAACGTGCGGTAGGTTTTAGTTGCTGTTGGAAGAGGCTTGCTCTTGGTCTCTTAAAGAGACATCCCACAGTTTCTGTTCGATCCCAAGTTTCTTCAGCTCCTTGAGACCTCTATCCACTGAAAAATCCAGAAAATAAGATGATGGTTGAAAGAAATAATGTTCGTCAGCAGTAGAGTTGCATACTGTTACTAATAGAATTGATCGAATTTTATGGCATTCTGCCTGGAAATGTAATATGAACTTTCAGAATCCAATAACTATAATGTGATCACACCTCATTCTACATATAATCGTTAGTAAAAGTGCAGCTAAAATAGTTACGATAGCTGAAAACAGGAAATAGGTTTCATTGTTTTTCCCCTCTTTTGAAAAGAAGGCCCCTAGAGCTACTTTGCACAGGATCACTCCAGAAACAACATTTGAAATACTAACACTAATGACTAATGAGTGTGTTGACATATTAGTATAGTTAAGGGGCTTATATGTAAGATGTGTTTTGTAGGGCTTATATAAGCCCATGTTATCTTATCAATGAGATTTAGGGTTTTAATTCAATTTGGTATCAGAGCTAACCCTAGCCGCCGCCGTCCCTCCCCCCCCCCCCCCCCCCCCCCCCCGCCTGTCCCTTCCCCTTCACTTGCCGCGTCCATCCCCTGCTTAGACCGTCACTGCCGTTCCCCGTGTGTGCACTTGCCAGCCAAATCCAACAAACTCCCCACTCTCTTCTTCGTTTTTCCCGATCCAAACACCATCCGAATCAAGCGCCCTCCGACCTCCTAAAACCCCGACGAACCACCCCCAACATACTCGCTCTCCGATCAGCCCTCTCGCCCCTCAAACCTCGACGACCACCCACCCAAACCTTCCTCTGTTTTTCCAGGCCGCAAAACCCCTTCCACTCTCTGCTTTCTTCTTTGAGCCGACAACACCTCGACCCCCCCCCTATCTATCTCCTCAACCAACGTACCCCCCTCCTTCGCTGCTACCGAAACCCCCCACGCCTTTGACCGCCCCCCTTGCTGCGCCATGTCGGACCTAGAGTTTGACATGGGTTCCCTCGACTCAGTCCTCGAACTGATGACAGGAAGAGTATATATCTCACATCGATGAGATACATAACTGTTTTTTGTTATTGTTTCCTCTGAGAAACAAGAATTTGTTTGCGATCCTACTCTTGTTGTGCAACAAAGGTGCTGCCGAAATTTTCACTGCACACAACAAGGGTCGGAAGAGAAGGTGACCAGGTGTTGGGTCTGAAGCCTGTTCGATGGAGGAGATCATCAAGAAGTTGAACCCTGCGGAGGTGTCAACTTTGATGAAGCTGATGAAGTTGTCGGCTGGTGAGAGCGCGACAAAACCATCGAAGAAGTTAGAGCTTCCGACCATCGATCTGAAACTTGATGGACCGAGTACGTACCTGAGCTGGTCACGGCGGGTGAGATACACCCTTGCAGGGAGGAACCTGGAGGATTACTTGACAGGAGAGGTGACAGAGCCGGAGGAGGACTCAGAGGGAAGAGATGAGTGGAAGTCCACTCATATGTTGGTGTACATCTGGCTTCTCAACTCGTTGGTCCCGACGATCGCCGCCACAGTAGATGGTATTGAGAAGGTGAAGGATGTCTGGGAGAAGTTGAGGAGGACATATGATGGAGTGGGGAATAACCTAAGGGTATTCCAGATTAAAGGAGAGATCGATGCCACAGTCCAGGGAGAGAGGACTGTGCAGGAATATGCTACAGAGTTGGAGCGCCTGTGGCTGGATTATGATCATTTTTCCCCCCGGACTAGCTGCAAGGACCCGGGATGTAAAGAGCGGGAGGCCTTTCTACAGGAGAGGACTATGGTGTTTCTCAAGGGATTGACATCAGAGTTCGCTCAGCGAATTGTATTACTGCTAGCTCAGCCGAAAATTCTCACGCTTGAGGAGGCTGTCTCGGCTATGATCCAGGAAGAGACTCACATTAGGCTGCAGGCGGGGACAGGTGGACTTCCTGTGGTGAAGTCAGCATTGGCAGCATCTAGCAATACTGGATCCAGGGGAGAGACTCGGGAATGCTACAACTGCGGTGAAGTGGGTCATCTAAGGCATGCGTGCACCAAGCCACCCAAGGAAGGAGATTCGGGTGGACGTGGACAGTTCGGAGGGCATGGTCGTGGCCGTGAGGGTCGACGAGGAGGAAGGGGAGCAGGCAATCGGGCGAATCTGATGGTAGCAGAAGGAGAAGAAGCTGAGGTGATCTTTATTGAGGAGGATCAAGCGCTCCTGGCGATACTCAGGAGGAAGCAGAAAGTAGCAGGGGATGGAGACAGGAGGAGTGGGACAGAGGAGGCATCCACATCATTCTTCGCCAGAGGCAACACTGCTACCTATGCTCATCCGACCAAAGGTACTGATGACATACATGCTACTGCTACCTATGCTCATCCGACCAAAGGTACTGATGACATACATGCTCTTGCTTCTATGTCTCCCGACAAATCATCAGAATGGATAGTCAACTCTGGTGCGTCTCGACATGTGACATGTAATGCTAGTGAGTTCTCATCATATACTCACCTAGCATCGCCTGATAGTATTCAAATAACTGATGGTACATTTCAGCCAGTGGTTGGTAAGGGTACAGTCGATTGTACAGGTTCTGTAACTTTGTCCAATGTTTTGCATGCTCCTTCCTTTCCAGTCAATCTTTTGTCCATTAGTGCTATCATCCTCCAACTAAAATGTATTGTTTCTTTTGATATTCCTAAGGTGATCTTCCAAGAGAAGGGGACAGGGCGGAGACTTGGGACTGGCACATGACGTAGTGGACTGTGGTATCTGGATCGTGAAGGGCTGGATTCAGCATTGGTGTCAATGATAAAGAGAGCTGAAGTAGGATCTGAGATGAGTGCTAAGAGTGTGTTGATGCTTCACCACCAGCGTTTGGGACACTCATCCTTTAGTGTTTTAAGTAGGTTGTATCCATCTCTATTTGAGAAAGCAAATAAGCAGAACCTTGTGTGTGATGCATGTGAGTTTGGAAAACTTACTAGAAGTTCTTATGTAAGTTCTGGTCATAGGAGTTCTCGTGCATTCGAACTGATACATTCAGATGTTTGGGGGCCTTGTTCTACAAGTTCTATGAATGGATACAAGTATTTTGTTATCTTTATTGATTGTTTCTCCCGCGTTACTTGATTGTATCTGATGAAAAATAAGAGTGAAGTGTTTGGTTGCTTTCAAAACTTTCATAGGTATGCTCAGACTCAATACGACGCTGTGATAAAGGTATTGAGATCTGATAATGGGACGGAGTATACTAACAAAGCGTTTGGGGAATACTTATCAGCTCCGGGAATACAACACCAGACTACGTGTCCATACACACCAGCTCAAAATGGAGTAGCGGAAAGAAAGAATAGACATCTTTTAAAGGTTGCTAGAAGCATGATGATCTTCATGAATGTCCCAGAAATATTATGGGGGCAAGCAGTGTTGACCGCAGCAGCACTAATCAACAGAATGCCCTCGAGAGTGTTGGATTGGAAGTCTTCGTGTGACTCGTTGAAGGGAGATAATGGTGGGCTTCTTCCACTCAAGGTGTTTGGTTGTGTGTGCTATGTGAAGGACTACAGGCCATCCGTCGGGAAGCTTGCCCCTAGAGCGGTGAAATGCATCTTTGTGGGATATTCTGCTACTCAGAAGGGATATGTTTGCTGGAGCCCGGTGAAAAAAAGGTTGTTTGTGAGCATGGATGTGCACTTTCGAGAACTCGAGCCATATTACACCCGGAAGGTAACTTCATCTGTTGGTAACTCGCCTAATACTGGAAGTATGAGGCGAGAGGAGGAGAATGGTGAGAGATTGGTGAATGTGGAGAAATCAATGTCTAAGAATGGTGAGAGATCAGAAAAATCAATCTCTGTAACGATCCCTTGGGAAGGAGACTTGGTTGAGGAGCAGGAGAATGAAGAGGAGAATGAGACAAGAGGTGTTAGGCCCACGGCTCAAGAGGAACTACTTACCTATAGTAGGAAGGGGAAACAAATTGCGGGAACAGTACCTACAGTGCCACTGATGCCAAGTCTCTTGCCAACGCCTGCCCCGACTCCTGAGACACCTACACCACCACCGGATTCCTCTCAAGGTGATTCCATTTCTCTTCCTACTCCCACACTAATATCTGTACGGAGGACTACTCGCAGTAATGCGTGAAATCCTCCCGATAGATATGGATGGGATCTTGCCCAGTTTGTATCATATTCTAACATCCACCCTGCACATGGAGCATTCATTGCATCACTGATGGGATCTTGCCCAGTTTGTATCATATTCTAACATCCACCCTGCACATGGAGCATTCATTGCATCACTGGACTCTGTTACTATACCTAACAATTGGCAGGTTGCAAAGAAGGATCAGAAATGGAAAGCTGCTATGCACGAAGAGCTAGGGGCCCTTGAGAAGAACCGTACTTGGGAATTAGTAAAACTACCAAAAGGGAAGAGAGCAGTGGATGCAAATGGGTCTTTACTGTGAATCAGAATCCAGATGGACAGGTTGAGCGCTACAAAGCTCGTCTGGTGGCAAAAGGATATAGTCAGACATATGGCATCGACTATGATGAGACTTTTGCACCAGTGGCGAAGATGAGCACTGTTCGGACATTGATCTCTCTGGCAGTAAATGATGGATGGAAGCTACACCAATTAGATGTGAAGAATGCATTTCTTCATGGAGATCTGGTGGAAGAGGTATACATGGAAATTCCGCCAGGATTCGACACAGAACAGACGGTGGGCAAAGTCTGCAGATTGAAGAAGTCTTTATATGACCTGAAGCAATCTCCTCGTGCTTGGTTCGACAGATTGAAGTCTTTATATGGCCTGAAGCAATCTCATCGTGCCTGGTTCGACAGATTTAGGCGGGCTATGATAGGTATGGGCTACCGGCAGATTAACGCCGATCATACCGTGTTCTTTCGACGAAATGAAGGTCACATCACCATGCTTGCGGTATATGTGGATGATATGATTATTACAGGGGATGATGAGAAGGAGATTGCCCAACTCAAAGTGAGACTGGGTAAGGAATTCGAGATGAAAGATCTTGGCTTGCTTCGATACTTTTTTGGAATAGAGATAGCTCGAGGAGCGGAGGGGATTGTCCTATCCCAGAGAAAGTATGCACTGGATCTTCTCAAAGAGACAGGGATGTTAGGGTGTAAACCTGCAACTACACCGATCGATCAGAAGTTCAAGCTGGGTGCTGAAGCTGGAGAACCAGTTGATCGTGACAGATACCAAAGGCTGGTGGGCAGGTTGATCTATCTGAGTCACACACGTCCCGATATCTCTTTTGCAGTAAGCGTGGTGAGCCGCTACATGCATGATCCAAGGAAGGGTCATATAGACACTGTGTACCAGATTCTGAGATATTTGAAGAGTGCCCCCGGAAAAGGACTGATATTCAGAAAGAATGGACATGTGAGCATTGATGGTTACTGCGACTCTGATTGGGCTAGTTGTCCACCTCAGGATATTGCATCTTTATAGGAGGCAACTTGGTCTTGTGGAAGAGCAAGAAGCAGTCAGTGGTGGCGAGATCAACAGCTAAAGCAGAGTATAGAGCTATGGCCTTAGGAGTTGCGGAGTTGTTGTGGTTGAAGAGTATGTTGGTGGAGCTGAAGCTGCAGCAAGGAGCAAAGATGAAACTGTGGTGTGATAATAAGTCAGCCATCAGTATCGCCAATAACCCAGTGCAGCATGATAGAACCAAACACATCGAGATCGATAGGTTCTTCATCAAAGAGAAGTTGGACAGTGGACTACTGGAGTTAAGTCATGTTTCAACTAAAGACCAGGCAGCAGATTGTCTGATTAAGGGACTTAGCTCAGTAGATATGATTAGAGGATGTGACAAGATGGGCTTAGTGGATATCTTTCGCCCATCTTGAGGAGGAGTGTTGACATATTAGTAACTGGGCCCAGGAGTGCAGCCTCTCTTCAGCCAAATCCTCCTCCACGCCATGGATTTTCGCTCTTCTCCAGAAATATGTAAGCCATGCCTGCGAAAATAAGAGAGATGTCAATGGAAATTAACTTACCTCATAAACAATAAAATTTAAACAAAGTCGCAAGATGCAAGCAGTTACAACTACTTAAATGTATTCATTGAAGCAAACTGCTTTTGATACTCTAGAGTAGTATTTATTGCCAGATGCCCCATAATTTATGGTGGTCTTCGATGCACAAATTGTAAATCCTTAGGGCAAAATGTCTTATCTTCTTTTCTAATGAGAAATCAACAACCAAAAAGCTGAATAACCATGTGACTACAATAGAACAAAGCCAGACGCATAAACGTATTGTTTATACTTCAAGACAAGGATGCACCTAACCAGAAACATACTAATTTGTTACTCATACCTGCTTAAAAAGAACATCTTCGGACTCATCTTGGTTGAGTTCTGCAGTAACAGTTAATAAGTCACACGGGATGATCATCAATAAAGAAGTAGCAGTATAAGTCACATATTGTTTATCAACAAATCAATCTCGAAAGTGAACTTTTTTCAACAGATAATAACAGGAATTGCAAATATAATGTCACGACACAATGCAAGCTTATGAGGTTTAGAATATAGTTGTTACCATAGGCCTCTGTGTACTTCGCATCACCAGATAATCTACAATCTGAAAACATGGATGGTAGAGGGGAAAAAAACTTGTGTGTCAGCTGTTGATATGGAAGGATAAGAAAACGGAAAATTGGAAGTAATGGATCAATTAGGATAATGTACTTACACGAGAAAACACATTAACAAATGTATTGCGTTCATCGTTGCTAAAGAGGATAGGATTTAATAAATTTGTAAAATGATGAAATTAAGATGTATAAAAGAGAAAAGAAGCTCTTAGACTTCATGTCATCTAAGTTGGGAGCATAACACAAAAATAAGTTTACTGGAACATCATGTATTTCACAAAGACAGGAAAGCCTCTGCCTGATAGCTAGCCAGCAGGTAAGGTTGAGCCTTTAATCGCTGCGCAACTGCAGTTCAATCCAATAATCAGAGTTTCTATTTCGAAATGACTAATTTCCCACCATACAGAAATCCTATAAGGAAGATTAGAGAGTTAATCCTATAAGGAAGATTAGGGAGTTATTTTTAAGTGTTAATTTTGCTTGATATGCATTGTTAGGTCATAGCGTAAAAAGTTTTTTTTGTTAGTAGTTGTTTGATGTTATCAAAGGCATGTGTCTCATTGCGCCCCATGCGCCCTGTGATGCCGGGCGGTGGCAAAGCGCCCCACATCTGATGCGCCTGTGCCTTTTTGCACCTTGCAAGTGCCCTGCACAAGGGTGTTTCTCACAGGGTGCATGTAAAACAGGGCCTCATATATTTGCTCAAAAAACCAGGAAGTTGTAGTATATGATTGTAAGATTATGAAGGTCAATATACAGAAGGTAAGGCAAAAGACATAATATCCGAGAAAATAATCCAAATATTGGAAGATTATGAAGGTAAATATACAGAAGGGAAGGGAAAAGACAAAGTTCTGAGAAATATAAAAAATAGTTATGCCAAAAATCTTAGCAAAAAAATAAAATAAAATAAAATAAATAAAATAAAAAATACAGAGGTTGTTCAATAATTAAATGATCAGTAAGACATTGACAATCCTCCTGGCGTTAACATTGTCGGACTTGTAGATAGCTTATTGTAAGCTTATGCCATATTTATAGAAGTGAGCATACCTGACGTAGATTTTTGAAAAAAAAATTGCTGCCCCTGATGATACAACATAGACATGACTGCATCCTCCACCTAAAATTATGATAGACAGGATGAAGGTCAAGAATAAGGTGCATGCCATGGAACAAGCTCAACCTAACATAAAAGAAGATAAGCACTGAAAAGGTACTCATATCTACAATCCACTTTTCTAAAAGAACAGCTTTATGCAACCAAAAATTCATCATTAAAATTCCGTACCACATGAGGTGCGTTATGAAGAATGAAAACCATATTGAATAGACTCCAGCATGGTCCGACAGATATTATGACTGATCTTCAACTAAACTGAACTCTACGCAGTTGGTCAAAACAATTTTATATGGAAACTATGAACTGGACATAGCCCAGCTATAAACCAAATATATCTGTTGCGGTTAGAAAAAAATGTAATTTCAGTGATGCGTTTATTCTTCTTATTGACCTGCATTCAACCATTCCCCATCCTCAAGAAGAAAAGAAAGGAAATAAAAGAAAAGGTAAAGAGAAAAAATAAATACCATCTCCCCACATAAAAAGTTCTCCAAGGTTAATAACTACAGAAAAAAAGATTCACCAATAAAGCTTGCTATATGCAATTGAACTCAGCATGTCATAGCCAAATGAGAAAAACAAGAACACATTCTGGCGGGAGTCATAAGCAAAAACATATCATTTAAATACAGAATAACTGACCTTCAAAGATGCTAGTTCTTTTAACCCCTTCTCAACTGATAGCATGCTTTCTATGTCACCTTCTCCAGTCATATCACAATCTTTTAGTAGCTTTCTATTTTGCCTCTTAGAACCATCATAGCCTATATCAAGGTCAAAGATGTAAACAATTATGTCTTCAGAGCATCACAAATAGAAATCAAATTATTGTAATGACTAAGGAAAAGGTAAATTAGTTAGACTAGTATGATTAATTGCCTCTGTTCCATGATTCTTGGTTAGCTTCTTGACCAGCAGATATGACAAATTCCAGAGGATCTGGAGCAAAAGTGGACCAATATTCATATTTTGACAGAGCAATCTCTGAGCAGATGCCTACAGGTATAGCACAAAATATAGTAACAGCTTGTTAGACATATATGCTGTGAACAATGAGACAATTTAACAATCACTGGCTCACTCACAGAAATTCAAGGATATTACTAGCTCCAACGGAGACATTCATAAAGAGTGCATTCATGTTGTAATGTAGAACGATTTAAAGGTCAAATCCAAATTTGGTTGAAAGATCCTCATCCAATAGAAAGACTAGTTAGGATGAGATAAGTTGTCAGGATATTATTGATTAGGTTTAAATTTTGAAGTAGAGCTCTACTTGCATTTAAATTCTAGCATGACAGTATTAGTTGGAAATCAAATTGTAGTAGGATTAGAAGTACATTTGTATTTTAAATTTTAGTAGAGATAGGATTTTAACCTTTACATAAAGGTTTGTTATTCAGAGTTTTATTATGAATAAAGTTAAGTTGAAAAGTTTGTGGAGTGATTCCTCAAAAACGTGAAGCCATTATGTTTTTTTATTATGTGTCCTAATGCGAAACCGGTATTTTCTATCGTTGCAAGTTAAATGTTGTGTGTGAAACTGGTCAAACCATCTCTCTTGGGTATTGTTCATCAAAATTATTATTCACCTCAAGCTTTTTTCGACAAAGTTCTTAGATTGGAATCACATCGAAGTTCATCCATTTCGTACCGCATCATTTGGTATAAGAGCCGAAGAGATCAACCATTGAAGCTTCAACATAGACACAGCAAAAATTCAAAGTTCAACAATGATATGCAATTTTAAACTTAAGGTCGAGCTTTCTCCAATAGGGGAGATTTCATATAGAACGAATTTGCAGATCTAGGTCAAATAGCTACAGAAGATTTGATGAAGATTTTTTAGGGTATGACTTTTCTATAGTTGATATGTTTGGTTAGGATTGAGCCTGTTATTTACTTATATTTGTTATTTTGTTGATTTTATTATTTTGTTAGATATGTTATTTGATGTTATCTATAAGTTAGGATTATGATTTTGTTTTATTCCTATAAAAAAAGTTTGTACTTTTTCATTTTTGTAGATGGAGATTTGAGATGAATAAAAGTTGAAATTAGAAAATTAGGAGTGAATCCTCTAGGCGTGAAGCCACTGTATCTAGGAGGAATTTAATATGCCCAGTGTGAAGCTAAGTTCAGTTAGGTGTTGCATGTGAAACCAGCCTAACCATCATTTTGTCTTTGTTCTTTTTTTTTTCCTTTAGTTTTCAGGTTCAAACTTATAATCAAAGTTGATCACATCCATTCCGCATCAATTGGTACCAGAGCCCATAGGAAACCGAACGCGAGCCTGAGTCCGAGCCTAAAAATCCATCATTGCAAAATCAAATCCTTATATAGCTCGAGTCACTTCGAGTTCAACACAATGTGAAGATGGGAGTTTATTATATTAGATCCTCCTCCATCAACCCGCTTTCGAGTTTTGCAAATATTGTTGAAGGCCTCAAAGATTGCGCAATTAGAGTTCACAAAAATCACAGAGTTTATCATCTCATTCTCCTTTAAAACCCGAGGTCAAGGTTTCTCTAACAAACTTATGTAGGAAGATTTGAGATTAAATCCGAGTTTGGTTGAAAATTCCTCATCCAATGCAAAGACTAGCTAGGACAGATAAGTTGTTAGCATATCATTGATTAGATTTAAATTTTAAAGTAGAGTTCTATTCGCGGCATTCAAACTCTAGCAAGATAGGATTAGTTAGAATTTATGTTATAGTAGGATTAAATTTATTTGTATTTTGAATTTTAGTAGAGATAAGATTTTAACCCCTATATAAAAAGATTGTAGGTTCTATTTGTATTCAGACACTTTATGAAGAATAAAATTAAAATTGAAAAGGTTATGATTGATTCCTCAAAGGTGTGAAACTACAATATTTTTATCAAACATCTGTGTGTGCAACCGGCATTTTTCATAATTTTCAGAGATTAGATGGTCTCATTAATCTGTAATGCTCATTAAAATTAATATTCACCTCAAAGTTTTTTTGATAAAGTTCTTAGATTAGATTTCACGTCATGCTTGTTACAGGAGAAAAACTAGACGATTACATGATTAATGAGACCATTTGTAGCACTGATGGAGTATGAGTAATGATGTTTAGATATAATACTGTGATGTTACTAGGTAGTATCTATGGATGTAGAACTGTTGAGCAAAACCCAAGATGATCTTATGCATCATCAAATAGTACGGTGTATACAATTACAATGATAGGAAGATACATGCACAATTGCCCTTGCCTAGGTATCCAGAACTCCAGATTTGCATATTAACATAGGCAACACAAGCGAATATTCATGATTTACTGGGTGTATAATTTAAAGCAAATATACATTTTAGCATCTGCTTTCTTAATAGGATATTACTTTCCTAAATTGACATTTATGATTAGTCTAAGTTTTATGTTAGAGCATAAAATTATAACTTTCAACTCTCACCACAACTTTAGAGTTTTAGCGCAGTGAAAGGATCTAAACATGGTATCAGCAAAAACCCGGGTTCAAATTGCACCAACCACTCATTTATATAAAATTGAAGGGGGAAAATGTTGCATGTGTTTAAGCTTTTGACCAATGAAAAGGGCGTTTAGTCCATAGTTGCATGGAACTGGTTCGTTTCGGTTCACGGGATGGGTACAGAAGCCTGATATGCCAAATCAGGTACAAGGGAGTAGACTTATACTTTATGCCATAGAACTTGGTACGTTTTAGGTTCGGTTCTTAAATATAGGAATCAAAGGTTTTGCAAGAGTTAAGTTTAAGAAATATGCTAGTTGATAATAGTAATGGTAAAAGAACATTAAGAATCATGTTGCAATTAAGGTATTGCATACTTTATTTGCTTAACTTCTCACATTATTTGCTATTTATTCTTTTGAAAAAGAGTTATTTTTCTCTAAAATTCAACTGGGTTGAATTCTAAATTGGGTCGCTAGATTTGGTGAAGCAGGTTGTGTTCCACCATGAATTCGGGATGATTGAACCCGGGTGGTGGTTCACTATGGTGTCCCACATTCCCGTCTTCTATAGTTTAGCTTGTGGGGGCATGGTAGAGTAAGAAACTATAGCGCTCAACCCTCACCATAACATTGGGGCTTCGATATTGTGGAGAAACTTGTAACACTTTACAGTGAATTTGAGAGAAATAAGTAGGTGTTGGCAATTCAATAACAAAAGATGCTCTAAGCTTGAGTATATTTTGTCATTCTAGTTATCCTTCCTGTTTCCAAGTCATGTTGATAACATGAGAATGTGTGCAGCTAGCATTTTGTACAAGAGAAGTTTGTGCTTACACTTTTCTAATTAGAAATAAGATTTACTTCTTACTTACAAAAAAAAAAGAAAAAAAAAGAACTATCCAAAAGGATCAATACTATAATCCACTTTGTTTGTTTGAACGACAATAAGTCATATTAGAAAGTAATACTTCCAATAATATTAAAACTTGCATGCTATTCAGTCATCATTACAAAATAACAATTGGATTTCCACGAGAATCGGATACAATCGCTGTTTCAACAAATATATGGCGTAGGATACCTTTTGAATCCTAAGAAATAATCTGAATGACAATAAAGAAAGGAAATAATTCCAAAATAGTACCTCTATCAAAGACTTGCAAACACTAGTCTATGACATTTTTTAATCACCCAATCTTAATATTCTAATCTACTCAAAGCAATTATTTTAGTTATATGTGAGAAATTAAATAATGATCAAATCACAAATAACAAATAACAATGTATGGATTTCCAAAATTTAGATTCCAACACTTGTCTATGCTAATAATAAAACCTAATGGTTCTGCGGAGTTTTCTCCTATAATAGCAACATATATATAATATTTAATACCTAACAAGCCAAACTTTCAACAACATCCACCACGCCCACAATGAAATAGAGTTTTGACAAAAGATTCACTACCTTCAAACTTTTGGAACAAAACCTAATCATCTAACTTATTCAGAAATGCAAATGCTCGGAATGACCACAAACACACAGTGCACAGTAGAGAGGCATTCTTATTCAAAAATAGGTAAACCAAATGAAGATCTACTCTTGCATTCAGAATATCATTTACGATGCTTAGATATCAAAACATAAATAATTGTATATTTTGTTGCATTTGGCCCAAGTTGAGTAGCAGTACAAGCAGCTACAATAGACAAGCAATAACAGCATTGAATGACAACATCAGCGGTAGTCAAACTGACCACTCTGACCGCTAGGCAATCGGCCCACCACATACGGAGGTGAAATGGTCTGACTGTCAGTCGGTCATTTCAGGTGTTTTTCTGCATCTGCATAGTCAGAATCCTTTTTTGACAGGGATTCTTAATCTTTATAGGGCTTGCGAATTCTACCCTTCCTATATAAATATGTATTTCTTTAGATCTAGGGTTTGAAGAGAGCTGAGAGCGGCCAGAGAAAGAGAACGAAAGGTCAAGCCGTTAAGATCAAGAAGATAAAAAAACAAAGAAAATGTGATTACTCTTGATTTAGAAAAGAATATATATTACTCTTGTGAGGATTTACAAGAAACCAGAGGGATTAATCTTGTAAGGGATCAACAAGAGAAAAATAATTGTATCTTCTTCAAGTTAATAAAAGTACTCTCCCTTTCTCCAGTAGACATAGGCACATTGCTAAACCACATAAATCTTCGTTTTGGGTTTGATTGCTCGTTCGCTTTTTTTTCCGTCATAATGTTAAGGTTCTCCACAAAACCCTAAAGTTATTGTTTAGGATCTAAAGTAAAACCCTTACAATCGGTGTCATAGCAATATCGATTGAGAAGCTAGATCCCTAACATACTTGTGCATCTAATACTCACAAAAAGGGAAGTCAAAAATGAAAAATTGTTTAGAGTAACAATTTGAAATATGTCTCAACCAAACAAAAACCATCACGTAGAGGTTTTAAAAAATATTTGTCATGGTTTAAGGTTCAAATTCTCAATTAGAGGTCCCTAACCATGAATCTGAGTCACTTGTTACTTTTGCTATTCATTTTAGGACGACTTGATGCATGTGCAAGAAAACGTAATACTATCTAATTTTTGGGGTTTTATGCATTCTAATTTTTTGGTTTTATGCATTTTTAATAATGTACACCAATTTGCTAGGATTGCATCTTTATAAGTTTGAGACTTCAGAATTGTCTCTACAGAAATGCAAAACTTTACTGTAGATTCTTTTGTACCTATATACATTCAAGATCAATCCAAGTATCTTTCATCATTTGAATACTTTCTTTTATGCTATATTTGGGAGTTCGCTTAGAGAAGGGAAGAAAAGGTAAGATAAGGAAGGTAAGGAAGAGTAGGGAAAATATAATATCTTGTTTGAGAGTTTTGTAAGGGGAATGGAAGTGAACTTAAATTATGTTGTTTGGGAGTTCTAATTATGGGAAGGGAGGCGAAGTAAATGAATTTTAGCTATTAATTCATTATGACTGAGGGTTAAGATGTCTCTTTCATTATCAAAGTTTACTTTTCTTCCCTTCCCTTGCTTTACCACCCAATTTGGAGGGGAACAAAATTGATCCTTTTTTCCTCACCCGTTCTAAAAAAACTCCCAAACAAAGTAACTCTCTTTTTTCCTTCCCCTACCCCCCATTACCCTCCATCCAAACATAGTGTCAATGAAATCCTTCACATCCGGTGAGTTCCTTTTACATGATAGTTTAGTGGCTTTTTTTTTTTTGCTGATGTGTCCCAAGCTCAGGAAACTCTCGAAAACTTAGCTATAGTTTGCATATACTTGCATAGATAGTCTTATTCCAACAAGTTGATGGATTACATGAATAGAAATCTGAAAAAAATAGGGGCATAACTCAAAATTTAATTCATAAATCGTTAGAACAAGTGCACAATAAAGCAAAAATAATTGCTAATAACAAGTACGTGAATAAACGACAAGCAATCGCAAACACAGATAGTCTTATTCCGCCTCTATAGTAGACAATGCAATAATTAATAGGTTGTAGCATTGACCTTCAGCAAGTAGAATCTCCCGAAATATATTTCGCAGACATCTTTGCGCACAAAACAAATCACAACCGAAACTCTGATACTAGTTTGTTAGAACAAGAGCACACTAAAACGGATATAATAGCAAAGAACAAGCACGAGAATAAGAGACGAGCAATCGCAAATACAGAGATTTACGTGGTTCACTCAATTTGGGCTATGTCTACGGCAGAGGCATCAGAGAAATACCACTATCAAAAGAGAAAGAAGTACAAGAACAAGACAATAGCCTAAACCCTCAGTCTCTGCTTTTTAGACCCTCCTATTCTCTTAATACATCCCTAATCTAAACTCTTTATTTTAATATATATAGGAGACCACAATACATTAGGAAAGAAGTATCCAAATTTGATATAAGTTGGAAAGTAAAAGAAAAAACGAACGGCCGAGATTAATCAGCAAAACTGCAATCAGCGTCATAACCATCGATGGTCAAACACAACCATGAATGATCTCCTATAGTCTAACGATGGTTCTCTATAGTCCATCGATGGTTCAAACTCCTGTTGTTTTTCTCCAATTGTTCACCATAAACCATCGATGGTCGAAGTGACCATCGATGGTGTCCTCTTGACCATCAATGATCCATTGGATGAATTGAACAATTTCTACATAAATGGATAGTCTTATTGAACAATTTCTACATAATTTTTTGAGTTTTGAGGCACAATTTCTACATAAATGGACGAAAAAGATAACGCATGAAAAAAACCATTCCTTAACAAACCCAAAAAATTATTTTGGATAGAAGACAAGTGGTTATCACAATAATTGTCTCTTCTTGAGTCTGATATGGGATTTAGATCTTGATTTTACAATCCTCCACTTAGCAATACACATGGATCATGGATGGAACAGTTCAAAGAATTTAAGAAAGGCAATGCATTCAAAAGGCACTTTATTAATTATATCACAGGAAATGAATTTAAAATTCAGATGCTTACCATGCTGAAGAGCTAAACCCCAGTAGCGAGCTAGCCAGCACCTCTTAAGAACGACCTCCTCCTACAAAATTGGCATGCACATGGGATCTTATCTTTTCTAAGTAGAGGATCAAACTTATAAATTATCTCCAGAATACTAAATAGTGATGAAACTGCTACCATCTCTTCTTGAGTCAAGATTAATATTTGCGTCAAGGAGCGAAGAGCCTTCACCTCAGATTCAGCTTCTCCAAGTTGTCTGATGGCAGTCACAACCTCGTCCTTGGCAGACTATTTGACATACAAAACCCAATGGATATTCATTACATTAACAAGCAAGAGTGACTAGAACGCAATTCCGTAACATAGAAATTAACATAAATGATCAAGTAAATTGATTAGTACTTCCACATGTAGTCGAAGACCCTCAATTTCCTCATCCATTCCACCTCTAGTTTGTTCAGCAGCCTTAACAGCAGCCTAAATCATTACATATTTCATTCCTATTAGTCTGCATAAACATTGATTGTCAAGAGCATTTGAAAACAAATATGTCTCATAAGTAGTTAAATACGTCTATGGAACTGGCATAAAGTGATAGCAGGCACTAGAATGCTACTGCTTGGCTCTAGTAAATGCACGTTTAACTCATACAAATCCTTTGCTTAACCAATTTCTCAGAGACATATTTAGGGAATGTGATTTCCCTCACTTCTTAGTTTATAGTGTGCCATAGATGTGAATAAAGATTCTGCAAATAAATCTGATATCTAAACAATATCTCAACTCCTTCCAAGCCTAGGGAATTTTGCATTACATTAGTCCACATTTTTAGGGTGAGCTATCTATGCTCATTAGTACCTTGCATTAGGAACATGTTACAAGCTTTTAGAACGCTGATATCAATTTTGCAACAAGTTGTGGAATCTTAGTAACTACCTATCTGCAGTTTTTTTCAATCTGAAAAACTGTGGTCCATGAAAGAAAAAGAATGGGTGATGACAATGACCAAATGATGAACCAAACTGCCACAGTAATCACAGCTACTATCGTGGGAAAAAGACTCAATACCCAAAAGAAAACATATTTTACTTACTTCAATATAGATCTTAAATACACAAAAAGAATGGGAAGAAATAATCTAGAACTAAGAGCCTTCAGATAGTTCACCTAGATCATGATTTATTCCTTAAAACGACGAGGTTCAGAAGTAATGCATACTACTTCTGGTCAAAGATAAACTTTCCCATGCACAAATTGGGCAAGCTACATATGGCAAGTCAAACTTGCCAAGACCTGCAGCCTCAAAAAATATGAAGGGGAAAATCCTTTATACATGTAGCATACCAACACCAAGACACAAGACAGAAGTGGTGGGCTAGTGACTACATAGACTTCTTGTTCAGGGATGAATCCATTGCCGACTTTTGTTCTAGTCCCAACACATACACCTCATACTAGCCTACATTCTTAAGACTATGGTTTTAATCATCTAACAGGCCTCAAGTTATCCTTATTGGCATCTACAATGGTCAGGGAGATCTACAAATGCACCACAATTAAAATGGAGCTCCAGAGTTCCAAAAGTTTCAGGTCTGATCCTCAAGAAATACTTAACTAGTGCAGAGAACATAACGGGGTGCAAAGACTGCCAGATTTAGCTGCTGGCAGATCCTTTTGCTGTTCCGAGTGATGTACAGGCCAAGCTAAAACTCCAATTTCTTCCAAGACATGCACACAAGCAAGGCAAGATTTATGTGCTAAAACATTTAGCTTTAGAGCCTATGCTCCACGAACATAGTGAAGTCAAAGCCACGTTGCAACATGTTCATTTAAGTAGAATGAAATGCTGCTGTCCTAACTCCATCGAATATTGGAGGAGTACTTTGTGAAAAGAATTATGTTCTACAAGGTTAAATATGTTCGTATTATCACTAATAACTAAATAAGTGCATGAAACAATGTTGAATGAGAAATTGCTTAGACTGATTCAATGAACAACTGAAGCATATACTGAAGCAGTGAAGCTGAATCTAAAACAAAAGCTAACAGGTGGCCTTTCATGTCAATGGTAAAAAAAAGTGCACCACATTTTCCCAACTCGAGGTGGTTCGTTATCATAATAACTTGCACATAGAAACATCTGTTCTTGCTTTGGGATCATTTTGTGTGCAACCTTACTTTAAAATAGGCTTCAGCCTTTTATTCAATATATAGTCAATGCGAGAAAAAAAACACGAATGGCCAATTTCACACAGTCCAGAAAGTTGATTTCCACCTTAAAGAAATAGCCAAAACTTAAGCAAACCTACGTCAAGGGGATGGAAGCCACTACAAAAGTATTCACCCGGATAATTTTGAGGCTCCCATCACTCATATAGCCTTTAATAGTGGAGGGGAAAAAGTAAAGAGAATTGTATCTAGATAGTAACAAATGAGGGTGAGAAACCAAAATAAAGTGTTGCAATATCAGTTACTTGAATAGATTCACATGTATGTAATAAGTATTCCATGAGTACCAGGAGAGAGATGTATTTATCTTGTATTTTTTAATTCAAGTGTAATAGCAGAGCTAAAAATATTAAGGACTTAGCTGTATTGAACATAGACTTAGCTCCATTTACTAATCTTCATAGTCCAGACAAACTCATGCCGCACAATTACCTCTCTTTGACGGAGTGTTGCCTCCTTCCTGCAAAGGTCATCTGAAATATCACAATGGAAGTATGTACTAATTAGGATTGACAAGTAAACGTTACGGCAATGACCTGCTCAAAAGCCGGGCTTCCAAAGATACACCTTCTCCAAGAGCAGCAACCTGCGATATGTTTACTGGGTGATTTTTCGTGCAACGAACACAATTATTAGACGTATTCCAAATAGTTAGCCTTGATATTTAAAAAGTTTTCAAGATTATAATTTTCTGTACAGTAAGAATTTCTCTCTTCATGCATTATATTATTTCTAAATATACGTTAGTTCTTGCTCTTAACCCTTGTGATATTGCCTCAATTGCAACAAAAACCACATCAACGCCTTTATCCCAAAATTTTGGTGTCAGCTGCATGAATCTGATTATTCCACTCAGTTCTTTTAACGCTTTCTCCACCGGTAAGCTGATTACTTTCTCCACTACTAAGTTGATTATTATCATATCCTTCTTAACAATTTCTAACCAACTTCTTTCAGGCCTACCTATGGTCTTTTCTTCCTTTCTGATAATCTCTCTCCTATCTTTTCTCCTAATTGATACATTTAATGGTCTTTGTAGCATATGTCCAAATCATCCCTCTCTCATTTTATTGTCTATAGGAGCAACCTCTAACTTCCAAACGAATGCGCTCTCTAATTGATACGATTTATTGGTCTTTGTAGCATATGGCCAAATCATCACTAACAAACCCCCCTCCTCTCTCTCTCTCTCATTTTATTGTCTATAGGAGCAACCTCTAACTTCCAACGAATGCACTCTCCCTTATCTTTAAGTGATAAAACATATTCTTTATTCAGGAAAAAGTAACCCTATTGGTTAATTTTGCATGCAATTAAGTTTTTCTTTTCAAAAGCAATAATGCACAAGGGTGTTTTTCAATGGGAAAATGTAACATGAAGGAATCGCCCATGAGACCTGAAGTTGAGAAAGCCAGGAATAATATTGCTAGCATTCAACATACTAACATCTTATAAAAATTATTTGACGGAGACCATGCACCACATGAGAAGCAAATTTCTTGACTGCCAAATGAGGGATCACTTTAACACAAAGTAAGCTTATTTTGTGTTCATGTACATTTTCCAGCCACATACCAACAATGCAACGTACTAATTATACTGATATGATATCAGCTGCTATTCTTACGTTGTGCATGCATGAAATTGATGTTGAAGATTCAGTAACACCACTTAACATGGCATGCATTAGAGATATGCATGGAATCAGTTTACTCTAAACCAATTGAAATAACAACATGATAAGACATGCTGAATAATGGGAAAGAATGTCCACTGACAAGACAGGACCAATCGTTAATCATCATGGAGCTAGATCAGATCACATTCTAGATCAACTCATACACCATAGCAATACACCTGTTAAAATGAAAAATATTCTAATAACAAAAAGATATAGTAGGGGATAATAAACTGAAACCAGTAAATACTAAATAATGCATCAGAAGTCAAGGTACTGCATAAAGTTTACTTGGAGCATCAATTTGCTCACGATGCACTCACACAAAGGTCAACACAAACATCTCCGTTTATCAATCCATGTAGCTAGTCACACAGACAAAAAGAACATAATGTAAAATTCATAAAGATTATTTAGTCTCTAGATGAATCTGAGATTCAGTAATAAATCGTTTCAAATGCAATGAAACTTTAAGTATTATCAAATAGATGTAATAGAGAGAAAAAATGCTTGTCAACTTCTAAATTGGAAGTATAATTGTATGATATTCATATTGATTTTTAAATGATAAACTCCACTTTACTTTTTAAGCATTCTAACTGGAATGAGATTAGAGTATGATTTAGGAAATTATTATATGTAATTCCTTTTCGAAACGTTGACATTGAGAGTTAAAACAGATTACTTGAATCAGTTGAATGTAATATCCTTTCATTCGGAGTAAACAGCCCTTTATTGATTTTAAATATCATTAAATTGGAAAAACCGCTATTCGAATTGCATAATCCAATTGGATCTCAAATCCATATCCAGCCAGATTGCCGAATTCAGCAATGAACTGTAAGATCCCAACAAAATCTTTGAAAAACTTTCAACTGATTAGAAACATAATAAAAGGAAGTGCTTGCTTAGTAGAGAAGTGGCTATATATAGAAATTGATCAGATTGTTGGAAATAACATATGTAGCTAAATATGGGAATAAAAAGCAACCTGATTCTCAAGCTCCCTAGCCCTGGCTTCTGCTTCTTCACATCTATCTTCAGCAAGCTTTAACTGGATAAAATAATTTGAACAGAATTATTATCCTTATGAAAATGCTTATGAACCGATCTTCGGAAGTGTAACACACCTTTTCAAGAATATTGTCATTCTCTTCTTGTAGCATATCAATCTGCAGGAAAACCGCCATTAGCCCTCAAAAATCTCCAGAGACTTCATTTACAATTTGTGTGCACAACTCATAATCTCTTAATCTTCTAAGAAAAACTTATCTCACTGATCATAGCTAATAATACTTTTACAGTTTTACCTAACCAAATTAACCCTGTTAGGTTTCGGCATAATAATGCATGTAACCAAACATACACCCCAGACATGCGGGTTAATGAAGGTGAAAACTGAAACTAAATAGGCCACCTATAAATTTTTAAAGTAGGCTTGCCAAGGCCACCTATAAATTTTTAAAGTAGGCTTGCCAAGGCCACCTATAAATTTTTAAAGTAGGCTTGCCAAGGCAGTCTTTTCTTTCTTTCCCAAGAGAATGCCAATTACTGTCATCAATTAAAAACATAAATGAGGGTACACACCTCATCTTGAAGTTCAGAAGTCTCACGATTGTTTCCTGTATCTCTTAAGTTGAGATGCCTGAAATCTGCTGAAAATCTGTTTAAAAAGTTGAATAGTTAACAGAAATAGATAGCAATAACTGCACAAACTCTAGCTAAAAAGATTAGTCTGTTATCCACTTATCCTGAATATTGGTTGACTGACCCTATATTACAGGTATACATAACATGTAGCAGACTACAGAAACCAAGAAAAAAAGTTACTATCCAACTTTATCACATAGTAGAAAGAACTGCGTCAGACGGCTTTAATTCAGGCCACTAGCAATAAAGAGAGATAATAAAAGGTCTATTTGTATGAACTGCTATTGAGAAGATACTAGTTCTTACATTTACACCCTCCCCTCTCCTCTCTCCCCTATCCCCCCCAGTTATCCATCTATCTAGCTATATGCATGCACGCCCGTCTCCAAGCGCACGCACGCATGCGGACACAACTGCGCATGCACACACACACACACGCACGCACGCGCACATACACTCTTACTCCACACATGTTTTGTATGATCTCCATGGTGCACATGTTTTGTATGATCTCCATGGTGAGACATGTTTCGTGTAAAGATTACAGTGTGCAGATAATAACCCAGTACCTTTAGAAGTGAAAATGAAAAACTGTTGAGGAGGTAGCTGGTGCTTTTTCCTTACAGGTTCGAGTGCTCTGTCATTAGCTTCGTTATTTCTACTTAATTTATAGAGAATTAGTTGAAAATCTTGGTTAGTTGCTACGTTTAACTTAACTAATTTGTCTATGGGCCAAAACAATCATTTACCTCTTCTCCCTATGCCTACAATTAGAAGCGTCTTTTCCAGGAACAGTAAAGGTCCTTGATGCTGGACTTGGGGAAACCATAGGCATCGAATGAGCTGAAATTGTTGGCATTCCAATTGGCACAGCATGAGTTGATGAAGTATGCTCTTCAAATCTTCCACCTACAAATGGAATTACTATAAGATTAGGTTATGAAAATTATTGATATAAAAGAAAAATTCTAGAATCATAGAAATCATGGTTCAACGATCCAAAAGATAGCAAGCACTTTAAATTATATAAGTTTTTTTTTTCCTTTTCAGGGAACCAGCCCACTTACATTACTACCCTTAATTACTTAAGTTTCAAAAAACCATCACTATCTACCATTCAATTAACATAGAACCACTCATGCGCTTTTCCATCTAAAAAATTATGCTTTGGCAGTTTTACCCCTAGGTTTAATAATTTGTTGAACTTTGGGAATCAAAGTTAAATTTTATGAACTTTGAATATCAACGTTACATTTTTTTTCAAACTTTGTATACCAAAATTAAATTTCATTGAAATTTAGGGTATCAAGATTATATTTTGTTGAACTTTGGGATAAATTGTTGAGCTTTGAGGTGTTTTGGCAAAAAAAGAAATTCATGATATCAAAGTGGAAAATGAAGTAGACTGGGTTATTTTTGGGCAAAGAAAATTTTTATTGTATTAAAACTAAAATGGAAAATAATTTGGGGTATTTAACTTTAATACTCAAAGTTCAACAAAATTAAACCTATGTAGGGATAGTCGTTAAACTATAATTTTTTGGATGGAAAATTGGTTGGAAAAGTGCGTAGGCGGTTCCATGTTGACAAACTGGTAGATAGGCATGATTTTCTAAATTTTCTCAAAAAGGGTATGTTTTTCTGAAAATTGAGTAATTAAGGGTAGTAACGTGAAATAAGGCCTAACTTAAGGGCGGTTCTTATCTGTGGTTAGGTATGATCGAATGCCGAACAATCTAACAACTTGAAGGGATTGAACAAGTTCAAGTAGTTTTGGTATGCAACTACAAGACTCTACAGATAGCATATTCCTCTAGGAAGCCATTTCAAATAAATCCTAATAATCTAACGTGTAATTTAAATGAAACAAAATTGCAAAGTTCAACAATCTTAAAATATTAAGTTGTGGTGAGAGTGGGTTATATTTTTCTATTTTATGTCCTTTTATGGGCTGAAATCTAGAATGATTTTTTATGGTAAGAGTTGAGGATTATATTTTTATATTCTAAGTACTTTTTTATGAGCCGAAACCTAGAATCATGTAGTTGTGTATTGAGATAATGTAAAATTATTTGTACTTAATTGCAAAGTTATCTTTGTATATATATAGGACCTTTTGTAACTTCGGTAATATACAACAAAGATATTATAACTTCAATTGGTATCAGAGCTTTCCGCCGTCGCCCTAGATCCACACAAAAAAAAGGAAATTTTCGTCGCCTCCCTCACTACAACCCAACACACGACGGCACTGCTCCGACCTAGATCTCTATTTGCTCTTCGGCTAACATCGCTTCGGGTTCATCTTCTTCAAGTTCTTCATTTGGGCCAATGGCTTCGGATTCTTCTTCTTAGATTTCTCCATATGCTTCAATTATTTCGCATCAATATCATCGCTACATCACACTTAAACTTACTCCCGATAACTATCTCTATTCGCATGCTCTTATTCATCCCTACCTTTTAAGCACTCGTCTTCTAGGGTTATGTTGAAGGAACTATTGTTTGTCCTTCGCCTGTTATCGTTTCGGATGAAAAATCTACTGTCAATCCAGATTTTATTGCATGGAAAGAAATGGATGATCATGTTAAAATTATTATTCTTAGCTCCATCTCTAAAGAATGTTACCTGTTATTATTGGAAAAAATACATTGGCTGCGATTTGGGATGCTCTAGCCACTGCGCATGCAAACCCCTCTCATGCTCGTGCTTTACAAATTCATGAGGATTTACTTGAATGTTATTAGAAAGATTCCTCAACCTCGGTTTATTTGGCAAAGCTGAAAACCCTAACAGACAATAAAGCCGCGACAGGTCGTCCCGTATCATATGAGGATTTTATGACCTATGTTTTACGGGGACTTCGTCCGGAATATCAACATCTTGCAACCACTACCCGTGATCTGAAGGAAAAAAATGAGTTTTGAGGACTTGCAATCTATGCTCCAAAATTAGGAGTACATCTACTGCGATAACTGTGAAACTGCGACCTCCCCACTTGCCCTTTACTCGGCCACCGGATCCGAAAAACCACCGGTGCACAACGGCAACCCTTCCTTAGTCGCGGTACTGCCGGCCTACTTAGGGTGGACCCAACGTAGCTTGCTCATTTGCAAGCAATCGGGTTCAGTCCCTCCCTGAGTTCCGCAGCCCCTTTTCGCTTCTTTTTTCCTCCATGCAACGGCAGATCGGCCACCATCTTAACTATCGTACTGCAAGCCCTACTCTTGGGTCTGTCATCTTCTAGGGTTTCACAGAACTTTGGATATAATCAGTTTGGTAATCGGGGCAATCGCGACAACAATCACGATTGCAATAATCGTCGGGGTGGACGTGGTCGTGTACGTAATAATAATTATGGTGGCGGCTACAATAACAATTTTAGTGGTAGTGGTGCTCCTCAGTACTATCAGCGTGGCATCATTGGTGCTTCACCAACAGCTCATCTCTCGGATGCTCGTTCCAAATCCTTCCAACAATCCAATGCATCCCTCTGGTTTTCGGATACGGGAGCTACGAACCATGTGATCCCAGACATTGCAGGTCTTGATCACTCCGAGGCCTACCACTGTTCTGACACACTTCATATTGATAGTGGTAGAGGACTTTCAATTGCTAATGTTGGTTCAAAAACTTTTTTCACCAAAAACAACACTTTTTATATGCATAATATCTTGCATGTTCCCTCTATTTCTAAAGTCGTACTTGGTGTTCGTCAATTCTCTACTGATAACAATGTTTTCTTTGAGTTTCACCCTGATTATTTTCTTATGAAGGATCGAGTTACCAAACAGCTCCTCCTTACTAGCCCCAGTGAGAATGGACTTTACTCACTTCGTCTCCTTCCTTTTCGCTCACTTCTTCTCATGGTCTTCTCGGTGGAGCGCACATCTCCTGTAGTGTAGCATCGTCGGTTGGGTCATCTCTATGGTTAATTGTTTCATGTCATGGTAAATAAAAGGCACTCTTGTGCTCGTTCAAGTCTTTAGATTTGTTTTCTTCTGATTGTCAGCTTGGCAAGTCATCAAAATTCTCTCTTCATTTGTCATCATTTTAGAGTCATTCAGTATTTGGATTTGATTTTTAGTGATGTTTGGGGACCTACTCCCACTTTGTCGGCAGACGGTCATAATTATTTTGCTATCTTTATGGATCATTATTCAAAGTATATTTGGTTTTATCCTTTGATGCAAAAATCTGATGTATTTCTTATATTTCCCAAATTCATTACTATGGTTGAACGACAATTTGGAACTAAACTTAAATCCATACAAACAGATTACTGAGGTGAATATCGGAAGTTAACTGAGTATTTTTTAAAATTAGGTATTATTCATCGTTTGTCTTGTCCTCATACCTCTGAACAAAATGGGACTGTTGAACGTCGTCGTCGTCATCGTCATATTGTTAAAACAAGGCTATCTCTTTTAGCTCATTCAGGTATTCCTCACATATTTTAGCACTTAGCATTTGATACAACGGTTTATCTAATTAATTGTATGCATTCTTGAGTGTCCAAATCTCAATCGCCGTTTGAGTGTCTTTTTCACCAACCACTTGATTATCTTTTTCGTAAGGTTTTTGGGTGTCTGTGTTTTCCCTATCTCCGATCATATAATAGTCATAAAATTGATTTTAGGTCTACTCTGTGTGTCTTTCTTGGCTACAGCCCTGCTCATCATGGTTATCATTGTCTTGACTGTGCCGCTAATCACATGTATATTGCACGACATGTACGCTTCGATGAAACCACTTTCACGTTTCGTTCTTCTTCTCCACTGCCCCCAATCTCACCTACCAACATACTCCTGAGTATCCGTCCGTCCTTTATTCCCCTGTCAGGTCTTGCTCCACCCGATCCTCCCAGCTCTCCTCCAGCCGCTTGCTAGTTCGAGCCCTTCTCCACTGATCTGGCCGAGAATCCCTCGGTTGATCCGATGGCCTCACTCAGCTCTCCGACATCATCTTCATCTCGTGTTGTCCCCTGCGTCATCACAGTTGGACTCCTCCACCTCTGTTCCTCCTGATCCTTCTCCACCTTCTGCCTGAACCCACCCCATGACTCTTCGTTCTGATCCTAAGCCCAAGGTGTTGTTTTCTCCCTCTGCATCTCTTACCATTGTTCCCTCTACCACCTCTGATGTTGAACCAACGTCCTTTACTATTGCCAATAAAAGTATTCAGTGGCGTCAGGCTATAGCTGACGAGTATCACGCCCTTCTTCGGAATGGTACTTGTCCCTAGTTCCATTTACGGATTCTATGAATGTTGTTGGTTGCAGGTGGGTGTACAAGATTAAACAGAAGGCTAATGGATCCATTGTGCGCCATAAAGCGCGACTCATTGTGAAGAGCTTTCACCAACAACCAGGATTGGATTATGAGGAGATCTTTAGTCCGGTTGTCAAACCAATCACTATCCAGACAGTGATTTCTTTGGCTATTTATCAGGGGTGGTCTTTACGCTAACTTGATGTGCATAATGTTTTTCTCCATGGAGCCCTTACTGTGACCGTCCACATGTCTCAACCTCCAAGTTTTGTAGATCCATCCTGATCTTATCATGTTTGCTTGCTCCATCGATCTATTTATAGACTCAAGCAGGCTCCTCGAGCCCGGTTCCATCGTCTATCTCAGGCACTTCTCTCTCAATGGTTCACATGCTCCAAGACTGACTCTTCCTTATTCATTTATACTCACGGTACGTCTAAACTATTTATTTTGGTTTATGTCGACGATATCATCATTACAAGGAACAGTTCCGATCACATCTCTCGGGTCATTTGTGCCCTCTTGTTTGATTTTTCGCTCAAGGATTTGAGTCTGTTACACTATTTTCTCGGTATTGAGGTGGTACCGCATGCTTTCAGGTTATTTCTCTCTCAACAGAAGTACATTCGTGATCTCCT